AGTAATGCATTAATTGATGTTCACCCCAAACAACAATCATTTTTTTCTCACAACTTCAAGCGCTGACGGTAAATAACAAAAGTTTGATTCTCTTGTGGATTTAAGAGACTGTATTTAATAATTTTACAATTTCTTTGCAATGATGGAAAGAAATAACAAAACGTTAAAGTTTTTTAGATTTCGATAAATTTAAAATAGTATATTTTGCAACAAGTGCGGTAAACGGCATTTGACTCACGAGTTTATTTGACACGAGCGGAGCGAGTGTTTAATAAACGAGTGAGTTAAAAAGTTTTCCGAACGTGTTGCATACTATACTTTTGCTACGACCGTGCGTTTTTGGGTACATTTTCGCAAAACCGCAGGAATACATTCACTGACATGACTGTCAGAATTGATAAATGTCAAAATGCAAAGCGTGGGAAATATCTCCGAAAACATCCGATTGCTTCCAAATCCGTGCGGTAAAATCCCGGAAATCACCGAAGTGGCTCGGATTCATGGGAAACGAAACTGACGTGGTAAAGTGACGCTTCCCGCACGCTAGATCGGTGGGTAATTAGGTATTTTACAGGCGGGAGTAGAAAAATAACTTTATTAACAATAATGTAATTTATCTTTATTGGTTATAATTAAAAGTATGTTTTAATTCAATTATTAAATTTATATACAATTTATTTATAAAACTACAGGTAAAAAATTTTCCATAATAAGATTGGTTAAGAACTTTCTGTCAAAAGTATGAGGATAACCATTTAATATATTTGGTTTTCTCTGTTGTGGGTTGAAAATTTTTGTATCTATGACTTTATTTTGATTTTACCCACAAAAATATAAATCCAGGTAATTTAATACTTTTTTTTTGTTAATATGTGATTGGTTGCCGGGACGTAAAAATAGAAAACATCGAATTGAAGTAAGTGGTCACATTGAAAAAATTTGTAAAAATTGTTTCACCACTACTTAATTTAATTTTGAACATCATTTGCTTCCTAAAACTTTAAGAAAATCCGGATTTTGTTGAAAATTATCGGCGTAAACCTATTTTGGATTTAATGAGTAGCGAGTAAAAGTCAGGGATTAAAGCTAATGAAGTACTTATTCTTTGCCATTGAATAACGGTTAATATTTACGTGTCTATTGAAAGAATTTTAATTTCGGTCTCAATACCCTCTAGTAACGTTAATACTAAGGGCCAGTCATTACCATAATCTCTTTTGTTGATTTTGTATAAACTGCAAGCCGGGTTTAATTAGGCGTTAAATGCCGCATAGGCGTCGCGTCTGATCAAACAGCGGATTTATACAAGTATAAGTAGATAAATTCCATTGAAAACCGCTATTTTGTTTAGTACTTACTACAGCTACACAGCTTACTACTGAATAGGAAAGAGCTTTTTTTATTTCTCAGTATATTTGCACCATTAAAGGTAACGCGGTAAACTATAATTTTTGCTTTTTACTTTCCTACGATTGGCCCAAAATTCTGTAAACTAGCTTTCTATATATTACATACATCCACAAAAAGTAGAAAATTAAATTTATTGGAAGCCATGGAGATTAATTAGATTTAAGTACCTCTCCTTTATTGAACTTAAATTCTCGAAACAACATTAATTAAAGTTTTATGGTCATTTTTCGGTATATATAGTAGCATAGAATGAACATTTTCGAAAAAAGTTAACGCGTCACCAGCTGGATAAAGCGAGCTTTTATGTGCACGCCACTGCAGCAGCCGACCCAGAGAGGTAATAATCCTCTCAACGATTGATAAAAAACGTAATCTAGCATTCGTTCGAACAAAAGCTGGCAACAATTTGTTTCAGATTAACAAGGGAGATTGCAGATTTGACAATGTAGAAATCCCCTGCTTTTTTGAGTGGATCGACAATTAAAGCTTAATTTAAACAGGATCGCCTAATAGCCGGGCCATTTTTCTCAGCCACTTTTGTAGCGTACATACATGTCGGTTTAACAGGGGTCGAAATCGGAGTTGACAGCCACGGGAAATTAAGAGCCAATTATTATTTGAACGTTACATACATTGACAAATCCGTTCGATGCCGCTGAATATATGAAACGTTTATATTTATTTTAATTACCATCCGGTTTATTGTTATAATCTAATGCGTGCCACAAAAATTGTTAACTCATTAAATAAAGCGAGTTCTAGCTATCATTAAGGACCTTTGATTATAACTAAAAAGAGAACCTAAATGCTTTACTATCCCATGTATAGTTGACTTCCATTAGGGGTTAAAGGAGAAAAAATCTTAATGTAGGATATTAATATTTATTTATTTACCGCTGATATGATTAATCGACATAACCAATTTCGCGTTATCACAAAGTTATAAAAATACTTTTGCAAAAAAAGAAAAATCTTGCACCAAATGAACCAAAAGTCATGTAAGTAACCATCGTTAGTCATTGGGCAAGATGAAAAATAGTCGAAAACAATAGGTTACCAGGTGTGTTTACCAAAGACTTAAGCAAAAATACTACTAAATTGGATAAGACAAAAAATCGATAAGGGGGTTATTTTTAAATATAATTAGGTAATTGATTTCTTTTTACGTTTTAAGGAGTATGAAAAAGCTTTGTGTGCAATTTTTAAATAAACAAGAGAGGATAATCAGAATCCCAATACTTTTATTTGCTAATTTTTAGAAGACTTGAAATTCGATCATTATCGAAATTCAACTGCATGTTTAATAGTTAATTTTTTTTTAAAGAAACTTCCACAGCCTACTGTAATACTTTTTATAAAATTTCGGGATTCTTCCTGCGTCGGATTTTGTTGAGCCGAACTAGCTAACGTTTCGCCAATCATCCTGTTGACTTCTTCAGAGCTTGACTTGAAGAATCCAACGACCAAAACCAACGCAGGAGTTTTATAAGAAGTTGCTATAGAAGAACGAAATTCCAAACAAAATAATTAAGATGAATAACAAAGTTTCACTTATGACGCCAAGCAGATAGAAACGCCCTATATATTTTTATTTAGATTTTGCATAGTTGTGAAAATTTTATTGGTTTATTGGAATCCGTGGCTTCAGATTTGAAACAAAAAAATAAATTCTACAGATTAGTACACCGATATACACTCACCATATAACATAACAATTTGCTTGCAGCTTTGATTGGTATAGAATAATGATTTTTTTACTCAGAATGTATCCACAAAGTACTGCCTATATTCGAAAATGTAGATGTCGTAAAATGATACCTTATTAAATTGTTTCACCAAGCTAATATCTTGAGCCACATCTTCGCGAAGTATGTGGCATTTTTCAACTTTTATACCGTGTTATTATATTAATTCGAGATAAGAATAATTAAAATCGTAAACGGCAGTAATTAAAGTCGATGGTTACTTTACATCGTTCGCATAGCTGATCTCTATATGATAAAAGAATGTTTTAATTGGTACCGCTATTTTATGGAAGTAGATCCGCCTAAACGGACCGATTCGTTAGCTAACTATATTAGTTCATAAATAATAAGTTCTTATCATATCGCCGCTTTAATATATACCATACCATAACTCGGTTATTAGCGGATTATTAAAAAAAAGGGTTAATGGTGTTCGACAAAAATCCCATCTATCTCTTCACGTTGTCAGGTATACAATAAAATCGTCGGATATTTTTATTATGCGTCCATTTGTGAGTTATTGGTTTTTATATAAGGACCTACTTTAATTCTAAGGAGTTCTTGGATTTGTAAAATATTCAGAGTAGAGAGAGATTTTTGATATAACGCTTTTGTTTTTGTCGCTCAATCGGTTTGTCATAAACTTGTAAAGCAAAAGTAACTGATAATAATACCAGTAAAAAAAAAAGGCAATCAAAACTGGGAAAGATTCGGATTGCTCTTTTTTTTTGAAGCAATATAAATACAAAGTAAACAAAGTAGCAACTATTCTATAGTTCACGCTAGGCCAATTTGATCTCGATATATTAATACAGGCGGTTCTTACCTCGCTTTCTATATATCAGTCCTATCATATTTGAAGATTAGCTTGAATGAAATATTTCTAAAAACGTCTTTCATGCAACCATTTGAACGATATTTTTATTCCCAGGCATAGCTGGAATTACAATCACAATGCTGTATAGAAAATTAACGTACAAAATAAAATATTTTATATGAATAACAAATTTTTACTTATGACGTTATGTTTATTTTGCTTAGATGCAAAGATCTTAAGGTTAAAAATGTAGTGGATTCAGAAGCATAACTTGGCTAAACTTTAATTTACTATCGACACCAATCGAATGTTTGAAACATTTAGTAACATTCCTGTTCTCGAATTAGATACAGTCACAAAGGAAGTAATATTTTTTGTATATATAACTTGAAAAAATTTTCAGATCACTCCATTTGTTGCGACGTTGTTTTCAATCAAAAATTTCCAATTTTCTTCGTATTTCCGGTTTTAACATTGTAATTGCTTGTTCTTAAAATGTTTATTAACATTTTAAGAACAATGCATCTATGCGATCTGAAATTTACTGTATACAGTTTTCTAAAACCCATTCCTACTCATGTTCACGTTGGTTGTCCGTTATAGGTAATTTGTATATTTAGTAACAATTTAAGTTCTGAATTTTAAGACGGTTTTAAAAGAAGTATTTGATTAAAATATAAACACTGCGCATAAAGACTTTTTGAAATTACTTTTCGTCAAAATATTTGACATTTATAGTAGTAAATGTCAGAAGAGTCATGTGATTGGGCGAAACGTCAATTTATCACACAGTACACCCCAAATGTTTCCCAGGTCGTGTGAAATTTTATCACCGACAACAACGGCATGTCACTTGTGGAGTAACTTTCATATGTAGTAATTATTCCATTGCCTCATTGTTAATTTAATTTATATCGCGATGCCACAAAGTCTCGCTTCCATTTACCGAAGCGTATTAATTAACCACAAAAACGCAATTCAAAATATGTATTTATTACTCATATAAAATGTACATATCTGGACGGATCCGTTCCATTTTCACATCGTGTAATAAATTACTATTGCAATAAAATCGAACAAAATTAGCATAATTCTATTTACTAAAAGTTTATATACATATATATTATAAAAGTGTCTTTTATAAGGCGACATTTTCTTACACTACTTGGAATAATACTTGCGGAGGTGACAAATTGTTAAGTATTATTAGACGAATACCAAATTATTAAATAAAACTTCCGGAAAATGTTGTCTTGTTTTGAAACCGTCCATTTTGGTTTCGTATTCCTGCGTCATGTAGTGACGTAAAACTCAGTGGTCGTCAAGCACCTATATCAAATAGATGGGAATTTGGCAAAAGTCTAGGAATAAAAATGACAATAATACAAAAAAGAATACAAACGTTTTATTTTCTAAACGATTGCAACATAAAACAAAAGAAAAAACAGTCACACAACCTAAAACTTTGCTAGCGTAATAACTAAATCTAAACAGTTTTACAACTGAAAATACTGTAATAAAAACGATGCCTAAGATTCAAAAGTATTATTATAAGTACAGCTTAACTACGAAATAATAAATTTAAAGGCATTTTCTTCAAATATTTGGTCGTAATATGAAACCAAAATGGACAATACCAGAAATCGCTTGACTTACTTTGACTGCTAAGCGAAAAATTCATTCTGGATTCCTTGCAAATAATTAGAATTTAAATAGCTTTAATCTTAATAGTAGATAATAACATCTAATTCATACACTCTTTACTAAATATAAATAATAATTGCTATGTCAATTCAGGCATTTCTTAGCATTACAATCATATTTAAAAATTTTCTTGTGAACGCCATATTTGGTTGACTCTATGTAAAATTCCATAAATATCTATTCCGATATCTTTTTACATCATGCTTACTTAGAAATCGTTCAATTCGAGAAATTCCTTTTTCATACAGATCGTTCATTCGGCGTGCTTATCCACCCACATGGTGAGTAGAAGATGATGACGAAAATTAAATTTGCCTACGTTATTCATAATATCCTACCCGTTTTTTTTATCAAAGGGTTCAACCCAATACAAATTCACAAGTCCATTCATCCCAGCTTATTTACAATTACGTTTCGATAAAAAATACGTTCAGCTGATCAAATCACCGCTCTGCCTCAGCATTTCCAATCGCAGTTCGTGCTCCCTAGCTTTCAATCGTAGAGACGCGATACTAGAACTTCTTCTATCGACATCTGGTGGCGTCACGGCGCTGGAAGTTCCAGGTGATAGAGGTGGAGTTGTTGTAAACTCTTGTTTTGGCCTTTGAGCAGCAGATATATTAGCTAGTAGCGTCTGGAACGAACTTGCCGACGGATATAGTCCAACGGAAGGTGGTAGAAGAGGGGGTCCGCCCCTATGGTAAGAAGGAGGTGCTGGAAGATAACCGGGTAAAACGTGTGGCGGATACCGAAAGGTTAAAGAATCGAAAGGTTTTCGAAGACCGAAAGGTAAATTGAAAGGAGCAGGGAGTGACGCTGGCACCACTGAAGGAGTAGCACTGCTCGCGCTCGGGTTTAAGTAGGGGTTGTTGTAAGGGTGAGCTTGGGGTCCGACCTTTTCCTGCTTTCTCCATTTGGCGCGTCGATTCTGGAACCATACCTGAAAAAGAAAAATATGTTTAACGAACGAACACTTTAGAAGGTTTAAGGTTGGTAATTATTAACAAAGGTCTTCAAAAAATTACATTTTCTTGACAGGTTGTCCCAAAAGTGTTTCCTAAATCATAAGGGTCTTTAATTAATAATTGTGTCAGCGACATTTTCAGTAGAGTGTAACAATTGACCATATCCCAACTATCAAAAACTTCCCTTCATCTTATAAAAGATTCTCAAGGATTTATCCAACAATATCAAGTGGCTATAACTTGCTAAATTTATCAATCAATTAATCGATAGTGTAAGGTATTTTGGTGTTTTCTAAACAAAATATTGTATCACTTTGCTTGTGGAATTTGAAAATATCAGATGATTTATTAATGCTGTCATGTCTGTCTCATTTCGCTTTAAGGGAATTATTATCTGTAATGAAAATTTCCTGGTAGTAAGAAGTTCCTTTAAAGATTATAAGAACGATCTGGTTACATTATCACTTTTGAAAATAGGTGGATTAGAAGACATTGGTTTCAAAATTCTCCATTTTTTATAGCCATACATAAAAGGTATTGTTTTCAAAAACACTAGTTGAATATGAAAATGGGTATTACAAACGCTTTCAACTCTGTAACCCCGAAAATGTTGTCTAGACTTAGACAATCGTTTCAGGAAAAGAATCGGTCATTTTCTGGTAATGGAAGATCCATATTTCAAAAACTTATTGTAGAATACATGTTTTCCGCATTTCTATTTTACTATTGGGTACTTTTGATTAGTTAGTTGCCGTTTTAGCCTGGATAATAAATTTAAAAAAAATGTATCAGAAAAAGTGATCAATGAGTCATTAAATATCTAAATTCACAGACCAACCAATTAATAGAGAGGCAGCAAGATGCAATAAAATATTTACTTTTTTTTTAACTTAAGGTTTAGTTATCACAAATGTTATTAAAACATGTACATATTTTAGACGTAGCATTTAAACGAGCAATAATAAAATTCCAAAAAATAAACACTTTGATATTTTTAAAACCTGTATGATATGAAAGTAATTTTAAGAAGTATTAATAGATCTTGTTAAGGTTAGCAAATTTTTGTGAAACTTTGTAGAAAAAATTTATCAAACTATGAGACGGAGCATTGTTCAATAAAAATTTAATGTAACGTATTGCAAAGGCGAAGGGAACCAAGATTTAAATGGCAATGAAATATAATTAGAAATATTTCTGTAATAAATTGCAAAATGGACAAAAAAAAAGTTAGATTGATATCGAACGCAATTAAAATAGTTCAGGTTATATATCAGCCGACTGTAAATCATAAAATTACCAAACCATTAAGGCAATAAAATAATAATATGTTTAGTTATAAAATTTATTTAAATTAAACGCTCTAAAAATTTAATAGCGAGTCAAATCATTTTCAATTAAAAATAAAATTTACGCTAAAAACGCCGTGCAAAGTGCATGTCACCAATCAATGCGGTACAGGGAATTTTTCTACGAAACAAATTGCGTGCTCGAAGTCCTAACTTTAAAATCGTAAAATTAAATAACACGGTTACATTTTTCATACTGTGCAATTTTGCCACAACAATAGCTCCGGAAATAAATCAATACGCCCGACGTACATGTCTAATCTGATGTAGCATAAAAAATATAGATTCCCCTATAACAGCCAACTCAGAATTATTTAGCATTATTCAATAATTTAATTCATTTTTAAATAAATACATAGTTAGCTATGGATAACCACTAAAAACAGCAAAGCACAATAATATCCAAAACCAGTAGAATTTGAAAATTTTTGATCAATTGAAAAATTTTTGTTCTCACAATCTATTTTAGATTTTTTCTTATACGAGAATTATTCTACTCGATGTATTCTTGCAAAATCTTCACTTTGCAGTTAATGTGGGATTATTTGATTAAAAATTTTGGCAACAAAATATGAATGAAGTAAATTATTACTATAAGATATTCTCCATAATTCTTTAAAAATTAGTAAGGGGAGCACTGCAAACATTTTTCAGTTTTTTTTGCATTTTGGTATTACTGTTGCGAACTAATTTAAAGAAAAGTTTTCTGATAGATAAATAAAAGACTAGGTTCCATCTCTAAAGACAAAAATCCAAATAAATTTCTAAAAAACGTCGACGGCAGTTTCTAATTTTTGCGTGGAATTTAATTATCATACGGCAAACATCAATTCAATTTATATCGCCCTATAAAATTCGCAAACGGCGACCTTAAATAAGCCATGCCTTAAATATGTCTTTGGCAAAATGCGGGTTCCTTAAAGGGGAAAAATGTTAAAGTCAGCGCACTAAATTAAAACTGCAATAAACTTATTATCGGCGAATCGGTAAATTAATACCGCTGCCAATTAAAATTGTAGGTAATTAATGCAATCGGGCATTAAATTTTCAACGTACACCGGAAGGTTTAATGTAAGACACTGCGCTTTTGCTGCTGTACTTTTACTTTGAAGAAATGTATAAAAAATTACATTTTCTAGAATAAATCGTACTCTTAATCTTAGTCTTAATCTTCCTTTAAAATAATTTTTGCTGCAAACCAAAAAATCAATCACACCTGCCCCTAACCCCTACGTCGATTTTCGATTTTCCACCACAGGTTCAATTTTCGAAAAATAATTAAAGAAAAAAAAACTCGAAGTACAATCTAAACTAGTTAAAATGAGAAAGAATTTATAATGTTTTTTGGTCAAAAAACCATTTAACAATTAACAATGGCCAAAACAAATAAATATACATTTTCTTTCAGTTCCCGGTAGGACAACAAATGGAACTAACTACTTTTTCTTGGAACTTCATATAAGTTTGGAACACTTATTCACAAAGGAGACTGAATTGTGCAAAACCATATTCTAAAAGAAGACGAATATCGTCACGATACATTTAGAAACAATTATCCCCAAATAGGTATTAATTTACGTAAAATATATCAGGATTAAGAGTCTACAACAGAATAAAATGTTGCTCCTATTGGTCAAAATTTCAATTTCAGGATGAAATTAAAGAATTAATTTAATTAAGTTAAATTATGTGGGGGTTTCAAGTAAAAATTTCCAGGTTGCCCTGTTTGAATGACTTTGGCATTAGTACACCGAACTAAGCTTCTTCTCCGGTTCGTTTTTAAGTTATCTTGAATTTTACCGACGACAACATAGAGACGATATTTCATTGTTAGGTAATTTGTTTGAGTAATTACCTTCCAAAGAAGCATTATTGATCACCGTCCATTAACACCGTAGAAAGTAGCCGACATAAATCAATGTTAAAATTTCGTTAAACAATTAGGCCTTTAACAACTCTTACGCGCTTAAAATATACGTTCATTAGCCACGTATTAAAGGAGGGGTCATTAGTTAATGTACAAATATTCAAATAGCTATTTTTTAAATGTATTGTTGTCCGCTTTTTAACCAAGACAATAGCAATATGATTGAAGTTAATACATTAAGAACGCCTGTCGGATATAGTGGGCAAGTAATTTGTAAGGACTCTTTTGTGTCCGATTTTCTCCATGCTTTGAAACGTACCATGAAAAAAAATTCAAATTTTTCTTCGCTTTACGATAAATGGAACCCGACCAAATTCCCAAGAAAACGCCAGTGTTCGCGCAGTATTCACGAGCGATATCGATCGAGCAAAATACACCTCATCGTTCCTTAATTGCCTATGAAAACATTTTGCCCAAGACACAATTTATTATTAAGTAATAACATGTTTCCAAACCCGCATTAGACACTTTATGAGCTCACCTGGTCGTTTTTAATAATCGACTTCCTCTTATTTGAAAAATATTAAATTGTTAATTAGAGACCGTTATTATGCCAAACAACGCGTTCGACGCAAAACACCTTAATAAGAATATCCATAGCGGGGTCTAATTCAATACTTTAATTAATTGACTGAAATCTAATTATAACCGATCTGCGAAGATATATCGCTATAGTAAATTTGTCGAAGGCCGAGGGTATTAACAACAAAATACGTTCATCCAACACTTGCATGTAATGACACTACACGTTCATAATAATATTAACTTATAACTCGACACAGTTAGTTACCATTCACTCATATGTGATAACTCACCAGTGAGTTACGTTTTATTATTTATTTTATTTATTATTAAAACGGTAATATAACAAAGTTTGTTAGCTATAATTTTTTATTAAGCGCACGAGTTATTCCATATAAGTCACTATTAAAATTAGCTCTGTCAGTCAACTCAGTATACTTGGCAGTAAAGTTCTGGCATTTTTATGCTAATTCTACCTATATATTAATTTTTCTCCAGCTTTTCTAAACACAAAGCACCATTACCTCGGAATCGGAACAATGCTATGGTATAATTGGAAAGTACCCATTTGATCCTCATAAACCCTTGACAAGTGTTACAAATTACTCCAGATTACTTTTAGGAGAGTTAGCCATTTACCTATCACTGTGAGCTAGATAATCTGTTGTGACTATTCTGAGCTAGATGATCTATTGAAAACTTTATCAAGTTAGTGTTGCTTGGTGTAATTCTTTGCTTTTGGTGGACGCGAGATAATCTAGATTTACTTGCCACGAAAAATGGTTACCAAAGTGACTAGAGCATCTTCAAAACGAGTGTACCATTTTTGGCTAAAAACCTTTGAGATTCAATAATTTGTTCTCTAGACACCTCTGCTACTACTCTGACGATTGTCTTCAGTTATAAAGAATATTTTGACATTTCAGCCTATTTAAGTACACCAAATTTCAAAATCTCACTGCGCTGTTTGCAAAGTTATTGCGAGTTTTAAAGCGATTGCATGCGGTTCAAGGTCCTTAGTTTTATTGAAGTCGGTTTTAAAATTGCCTGTACTATCAGCATATATATCTCTATATATCCAGCAGCTATATGATTTGGGGCTGTTCATATAATCTTGTTTAAAAAAAAATATTAAAAATGTAGAGAAGGTGTTTTATTCCAGTTCACGTCAATGTATTAG